TTCCCTACTCAAATTGCCATTAGGTGCAGTTTTCCAGCTTTGAAGAACCAAGTATATTCCGGTTCCTGAAACTGCTGCATAACAGACTTTCCCAAGCCCTTTATGTGCAGGAGACACATAAAAGTTTCTTGAAATGTTGCAGGCTTCATGGAAACAAATATTAAAAAAGAGTGTGAACAAAAACTGTAGCACTCTGCCAAGTGCTGGAGAGGCCTCTGCTAAAGTCTCTAGCATCTTGCCTTCAGAGCAGGTTTCAACATCTAATGTGTCAGATCTTCCCATTATTTTGCCTGAAGTAGTACATCCAGAAGATGGACCCCAGAAAAGACGACCGGGCACTGTAATAATATCAAAACGGTCAGATTCTTCAAACATGTCTAGAACACCTCTGAATCGGCCTGTGATCCCACCAAGAAGACCTTCCTTCAGGGTATGCTATATCTGTGGCAGAGAATTTGGGTCGCAGTCTCTTTCTATACATGAACCCCAGTGCCTGGAGAAGTGGCGTATTGAAAACAATCATCTGCCAAGGCATCTCAGAAGACCAGAGCCCAGGAAACCTGAAGTTCTTACTGGTGGTTCCCATACACTTAGAGCTGAAAATGAGGCAGCTTATCAAAGTGCTCAAGCCCAGCTCCTGCCCTGTGGAAACTGTGGACGAACCTTCTTTCCTGACCACCTCATTGTGCACGAAAAGTGTTGCAGAGGAGGTAGTAGCAGCGTGGGTCTGTCAGGCTCTTGCCCCACTAAATCAGGTAAAGGCCTATGCTCTGCGTCTGGCTCAGCAAGTGACGGTCCATTTAAGACCCATCAAGGAAAGAGCGGGGCTGCACCAGCTGTACTCGACAAGGTAAATTGCCAAGCACATGCTGGATGAAAGGGTATGGATGCATTTTGACGCTCGGTACTCCAGGGGACACTGGGTTCCCATCACATTTAAAATCACTTTCCTTCAGAAGGATCTTTTTGCTCCATGCAAAAATTTCTCTGCTTAGTAGGTAAAGAAAAGGGGAATACTGTGTGCATAAAGCCAGCTACTTACTGTTATTTCTTTTCATTTTCCTGTCAAAAGGGGGTGGTTAGGTTCTCATACTCTGTGGTCCTGCAAGAGTTATATTTGCAAAAGGGACCATTGTGTGCTGTAGCTCCCTAGGAGATTCTGTTCAGCAGCTTAGGCAAGCTTTGAATGCTATGTATTTTTGTAGGTATTAGATATTTTTATTTAGTTAACATGAAATACAATGTTTCATTATCCTGTAAGCGCTCCAGTGATTTTCATTTTTTACCGTTATTCTTAACCTTGGCGCAGAACCTGAGTTTACTGAGGACTTCATGTTCAAAAGGAGCAACCCAGAGTATAACAACAACAAAATAAATAAGACTGCACATTTCTTTCCACCGATTTTGGTTCAAGATCCAAGAATAAAGAAGCCGATTCGCACTATCCAAAAGCTACACAAAGTTTTGGAAAATGGCACATTTTTTCTGCATTTGTCTGCACAGGCTGTCTGTTGGCTGGGAGTTTTGTAAAAAGATAGATGTCTAAATTTAGGCCCAGTGTCTAAAAGGAAAGACTTTTTTTCAGTGGGGTTTGGATTCTTGATTGCCTACATTACTTCTGGAAATGGGATTTAACTTTCTCAGTCAGCAAAAGGAATGCAATGCTATGCAAAGCATTTCTAAAAATGTTTTAAAAATCAAAGCATGGGGTTTTTTTCAGTTCTCCAGCTGCTGAATAGAATGGAGATAATAACATTACCCTAACACACCTGAGAATAAAGACAACATGAGGCATCATTATATTTTGGTATTTGAAGCAACTAATTGTTAGATGTTGGCAAATTAGGTCCGCTCCTCAGGTCTTTTATCAGCAAATTTCAGATAACCCAGAAATGGTTCAAAATGCTACACAGGTGCATCTCTAGCTATGGGAAAAGAGATATTCACATTGTGTTACACTATATTGTACTATTTACCAAAGCACTGGTATTGCTCTAAAGTTGATTGTTCATTGAAAGGCATTAAGTGTGAAGCAGAGAGTTTTGTCCATCACAAGTAATTCTGCATGTTTTTTAAAGAAAAGGAGTTGGGGGGATATCCATGGTTATAGTGTCAATAAAAAACACATTTAGAGTGTGGTTTGGCATTGAGAGTGACTCTGTCAAAATGCTGCCCTCTTGCACAACGTATCTGCTCCCTGTGTGGATTCAGTAACATCTGCTGACTTGTTGAACAACAACATTATTACCACTTTTTACTTCTGTGAGCTCTGCAGAGCCAGAATGAAATGTGTTCAAATCTGTTCTCCCATCTGTGTGAACAACAGGTTTCCTCATTTATGTCCAAGCCGTTGCAGTTCATCAGTTACAGCAGAGCTAATGAGGCTGTACAGCTTGCAGTTTGTAATTGACTTTGGAGGACTTCATTATTAACAATGACTTCCAGGAAGGGATGATAGATTTTGCTTCTCTGAGGTCCTTTATTTTATTATTTGTAGAACTGTCCTTTTGTACCAGGGTACATATTAAAGGCAGAGACAGGAATGGGAAGAGTGAAAAAATATCCTGTGATGTCAGGGGCTGTTCAGGACTCGCAGACTGCTTATAAGAAGTGGTTAAAGGAAGCCACTTTTTCAGAGGTTTGATTTTCTGTGTGAGGTTCTCCACCTCCAGTTGAAAGTTTTGAAAGGTCTACACACTGAAGGATGTTAAAAGCACTATGGAAGGACTGTGGAAGGACTGCAGATTCACTATGAACACAGACAAAGTCTGGCTCTCCTCACAGTCTTCATTTTTTTCCCAGCATGTGGTTTTCATTTCGCTCACCTCACCAGCTACTCAGCTGCTTATCAATACCACTAAAAAATAACAGTAGTGAAGTGAAGTGGGAATCTGCGTTGGTCCTGGCACGGAAATATTTGGGGCAGCCCACGTGTCACAAATGTACTGTGACACTGAATTATAAGTACCTGTTTAAATTCCTGATTCAGCAAAGCATTAGAGGGAAGGAATAACTGAAAAAATCCCAACTCTTATGTAAGTACATTTAAGAAATGCAGTGCTGCTGCAAAATTAATTAATGCAATGAAAGATGTCCTAGAGGAAAGAGCTGGGCATTCCTAATTTTAAATATAAAGATCTGACTGATTTGGTTATACACCATGTGAAAGGCATTTAACTTCACAGCTGCAAGCTTGCATTTTGCCTGCATGCCTCTCTCCTGGAACTCTCTCTCCCTTAGCAAGTGCAGGATCAACTAGACCAGTATCATTACTGATAAAAACTCACTCAATTTGGCATTAAACGCCTTTAGAGCTGGAGAGTTAACAGCCTCCACAAGCCATCTCTTCCATTAACTGTCCTTCCTCTCAGAATGCACGAACACATCTGAGTTCATCATGTCTGGTTGTGTAAAATAAACAACAGCCTATGCTTAAGAGACCCTCACGGGTCACATCAGCTCACATATTCTGTTTGGGATTCTGCTGTGATACCCTAGACAATGGAAGTGATGTCTGGAGTTACTGAAACTCAGACTTCCACTAGAGCAGAGTGACTTTTTTTATTCTTTCATAGCCCCCAATGTCTGCCACATACAAGTGAGTGTTAGTGACTTGCTGTGGGTATATGTGTTAAAAGTTTTTTTGAGCCTAAAATCCCATCAGGTGTGTCACTAGAATCTAGTGCTGCCATCTGCTGTTTTCTTATCAACAATCTAAAAATAAGATTTCCATAATCGTCCTTTGCTGTACTGTAATGCATTTTAACACAGGATAAGTCTTGAAATCTTGTGTAGCAACAAAATGTTGATGTTGTATCTTGCTCTAGCATAAAATCATCTAGTCACCTGGTAAAATGAAAAATAATTCAGATGCTGTGTAGTTCTAATGAACATGGAAAGTCAATGATGAACATTGCCTCAGTTGTGGCAGCTTTGAACATCTTTTTAGGAGAATGCTGTCACAGGAAGGATAGATCTGATTTGACAAAGATTAGGATTAGTAATAACAAAATTTGTTAATGATATAAGATATACAAAAGAGTTAGATTTTAGGAGCACTTAATCATTAACCAATTTTAGAGACTTACAAATTATTTGGTAAAATAGATTATAGGAACTTAATTACAGATTGTAGATGACAAGATTCACAGTAACTTATTACAAGGTATTTCAATCAAAGACCACATGTATGTATATGTTTACATGCGTGAATGTAGAATATACAACTATAAAAATAGATGTCTAGACAATCAAATTCACCTTATGGATACCCACACTCATGAAAGCAAATATACATTTAAACACATGAATAAGTAGAGAGTTGGATGTAAAGACTAGTCTATAGTTAAAATTTCCCTCTTCTCGAGTTCAGAGCAAATACTCACAATGCATTCCACAATGGGTGATAGTCAAGACTTGAGGAGGATGCCTCACAGTGACTCACCCTGGCCTTTCTCAGCAGACAGCCTCGAGGAGCTGGTACCTAAGAAGCCTCTCAATACGGGGCATATGCTGGTCACAGCTTTTTGTCATCCAGGACAGCTCTTAGAATCACTATCTATAGGATGGAGATAATTGGCTTTTTTCAGGTACTTTTTCATACCAGCCCCACTCTAGTGGCAAAATATTTTGATATTTTGCACCCGTTGTGCAGTCCCATGTTATCATGTTTAGAAGTGCTGGTGTCATCTCTTTTGAGATACATCCCTAGTACAAGCTGCAGGGAATTCTGGGGCAGTCAGGAAGTGATGGACTACTGCTGCTAATCCCATGCAATAGGGAAGGCAGGAGTCAGGCACACCAAGAGGGTGACTTCGTGGTCTGGTGGTTCCCATCTTCTGCAGTCTACATTCCTCCCAGATCAGCTTGTCCTCCATAGAGAAAGAGTCACACCTCGTACCAAGTATTTCAAGAGAAAGGGGGGAAGGGATTGCCTCACCACAGATACTGACAAATATATTTACTAATACAGAAAGTTATGTGAGAATGGAGAGTTGATGTATGATTTCAATGAAACCTATGGAGGGTTATTATTAGGAATTATTGAGCTTCCCGACTTTCTCCTTTTACACAAATGCCTTGTTCATTGTACTGATGGGGTGTTTTTTTAAAAAGATAGCACATTAGGAGTAAAATGAGATATTCTAGTGCTTCCATTGAAGTAAAATTCTTTGATTAACTGCATCATCTGTCAGAAATATCTTGCTATTCAAGAAAATTTTATACACAGGCACATGACCATTCCTAAAGCTAGCCTGCTGTTGGGTCAGGACAGTGGCTGAAAGCACCCCAGAAGGCTTTGAAATGCACCTTTGGATGATCGCGTGAGCCACACCACAGCTTGTCCCTGTCACTTACGCAAAATGCCTCTTACTTTCCAGAGAGGAATGTGTGAAAAGGGCTGCTTTTGTACAACACAATGCTGTTGCTGCATGTTCGTACCAATCTCTTCCTGAACCTTGATTCCTTGGGCAATTCAAGTCTATGACAAGAACTCTGGCCTCGAGCAGGAGGCCTCCCCTCCTCCCATTAAAATACAGGGATAATTAAACAAATAAGCAAGGTGGGGGCTGTGCAGTCCTGGATGATAAATATTTATGGAGGGGAGTTGAGGACTCAGCCTTATTGGGTGTACTTAAGAAGAAATTAAAAGCTTTGTGCAGTGTGTGAGGATTTGACCTCATGTAACACCATAACAGCAGCCTGGAGCTAACCTCAAGTAATGTCAGGTCTATTGAAAATACATAGTTGCATAGCCCTCTGAGCTAAATAACTTCATTCATGGTCATGCAGACATACTTAGCAGTCTTGTAGAAAAAGGAAAATACTGAGAGACCAGAGGAAAGCCTAACAGCGCTGTTAGGTATTTGTAGGTATTTTTATAATAACACATGTCCTCAGGAACAGACCTTCCCCACAACACTTTTTAAAAGTGAAAAACAAAGCAGTGAGCAGACAGTCTAGCCACTGGCCTGTGAGTAGTTTGGGTTGGAAAACTGTGGCAATTCCAAAAATAGTTTAATTTCAAACTGCAGGCCTCCAGATGTGACATTTGGGATAGGCACACTGTGAAGAGAAAAAGAAATGAAGTATAAACATCATCAGCTGTAGAAATTCCAAATAAAGCTTATCATACCTTGGATTCCACAGTTAAGCAACAAAAGAGCTGTTACTACCATTTATAAATATATTCTCCCTCAGGTTGTATTTTTCAGCTTTTTAACATGTGTGTATTTACAGAGAAGAATTTGTGTATGCTGTTTGATGTGTGGTGATGGCTCAAGCTCACTACGGTTCTGGAAAAAATAATTCCATCCTTAGAGTGATCTGATTCCTTTTAATTAATTCTGGTCTCTGCTATTGTTTCTGTACAGTTTTTAATTGTGGAAGTTACAAAAGAGACATTTTTACTTGAACAGATTTCTTAAACTTTTTTTTCAACAAATAGCATTTAGTTACAAATCAATCCCAACTGATAACTTTGGGAAACAGAATCCTTTATTTAGCTGCAGACCTGATTTTGCTCGCTCGCCAGACATAACCAGCCTATAAATGTTCCATCGGGATTGGAAGGATCACAGTATTGCTTATTCAGTCTTAGATTTTCAAGCAAGACTACCAAAAAGACCATCTCAGAACTGTGGAAATGTATCCAGATTGCACAGGATGGAGATCACTAACTTTTGTTTTGCAGGTCTCTGGGAGGTGTTCAATAGTAGGGCATCATAGTGAGTTTAGAACAAATGTAATGGATTTGAACCAAGCAGTCAGAGATGAAAAAAACCTCAATGTGATTTTAACAATATTTCTGTGCATCTGCTAAATTTATTTGGAGTTTTTAATTTCTTAGTGATTTTTCACCTGTCTTATATCAGGACTTTAAATTGCCTTGAAGCTATAAATTTATTTTTATTATAGTGTCCTATATACTGGCAATGATTGTGACAGTACAGGCTAAGTAAGCTTGACTTTCATTTCTACTAGGATTTGGTTTTCCCTTTCTGCTAGTATATAAAGAGTACCTGCAAACTGAAAGCAAATCAAATTGCTCTTTCCTAGTTTTCAGCCAATAAATAAACTATTTCACTAAATGGCAGGAACTTAGCTGCTGAACACTAGAGATGAACACATGTTCCCAGTGTTTTTACACCTAGCATTTTTTTTTAGAAATCCATTTGTAAAATGCTGTAAGTATATCCATAACAAGCATACACACTAAAATGAGTCTCCTGACCTCAAGAGTTTAGACTATGGTATCCTTAACTGAAGCTCTCCAGAGCCTAGAAAAAAATATACACTGCCTTCAGAGGACACTGTATCTGGATCTAAAATCTTACCTCCAAATCAGACTAGGTCTAGCTCTGGAGCTGAAGTAAGGAAGTAGGCAAAAACTGACCATGAAAAATTAGAGGGCTTTCTTAAAAAGCTATTGCTATATTCAGCTATGAATAGGATGAAGTTTTATGTGTGTATATATATATGTATATATTTATACATATATATATATGATATTTTACTATCAAAGATGGCTAAGGAAATTCCATTTGAAAGTTAAGAGGATGGAAATATCCTTGGAAAGACTGTTTTTGGATAAGTTATATTTCAACTCATTGTGAGAACTTTCCAGATGAAATCCAACTTTTCCCAGCAAAAATACACTTTGTAGAGTAGTATTTCTTCATGTAATTGAGTTTACATGTGTGATACAGGAAGGAAAGCTTATGCAGATTGTTCACTAATGACATTTTCAGACTGTAGCATAAATGTGAGAAGAGCTGCCCAGAATTTCTTGAATACACTGATGGGCTGACAGAGAGAGTCATAAATACTGGAACAGGTTATGCTTTGTCTTATACAGCAGCAGAGGAAAAAATGAAATCCCCACCTCCCTTGTTTGAGTGAGAAAGGCTTCCTGTGTTTGATCTGGCATGGCTATCCCTCTACCTTTAGGAGGACAGGGAATAGCTCATCTCTTCACAGTATTCTGCAGTCAGGAGTGCACGAGGTGCTGGCAGTTGTGAGACCCATCAGTGTGCCTCCAAGTGCTGTCTCTGCAGTACATTCTTATGCCACTCCTGGAGCAGGGCTGGTACTGACACCACGCCTAGCCCTGGACGTGTCTAAGGACACGGTCAAGTCCATAATCTGCAGCACCACACTAATTATGTATTTTTCAAGCTTAGAATATGTACTTTTGGGGTTTGGGATTGAGAGATCTTTTTCTTCTGTCAAGACATTTTTCTCTGTGAACAAAAGTAAAACTGCAGTGCAGAAGCAATGACTTGCTTAGAGTCCAGTTCACAGAAGCAGTTACACAGATTTCAAAGGTATGAGTTGGTTTCTTAACCTACGTGATTGTTTTAATTTGAAGTTGTTCTGATTAAAAATTAATGTTGAAAATAATATTTGTTCTTCTTCACAATCATTACTTGCAGGCACAGGTGATAAGACGGCCACCAGCAGTGATTTGTTACATATGTGGCCGTGAGTATGGAACAAAATCTATTAACATCCATGAGCCACAATGCCTGAAAAAATGGCACCAGGAGAATGACATGCTACCCCGGCACTTGAGAAGGCCAGACCCCAAAAAGCCTCAAGTCAATCCCCTACAAGGTAAGCTATAGGCCAAATGAGGAAATGGGAGGATGGAAAAAAGAGAATTTTAGACAGTAGCTTAATGGCTTGCAAGTACATCTCTCTCCATTTTACTCCAAAGAGAAGGTAGCCATCATGGCTTGTGTTAAGCTTTCTGTTAAGTTCTGCTCTGCTTTTGTACTACATCCGTGAGAAATAAGAGAAGTTGTTGCCTTGTGGGACATGCCTCCTGGGACAGTCCTCTTTTAGTGTCAATATGTTCTGAATGAAACCCTCAGTAGATTAGCAACGTGCTCCACCATTACACCACTACCTTTTAACTACTTTCAATGCTGTAGACAGGCACATTGTTAAATGGGCAAAAGCATCCAAGAGTAATGTGCAGGCTTGACACACACAGTCATTAAAATAAAATACAATACCCTTCAGGCAACACAGGAATAGATACTTCAGCTAGGTTTTGTACGTATAGTGTCAGTTATAAAAAAAGTCTGACACTATCACTTAGCAATGGTAAACAGTGAGGAGCCTCAAAAACAGGAGTTCTGTGGTAAAATAATGAACACAATACTAGATGCCTGATAGCTGGAAGAGAATAAGGTATCTTTAAAGCCTACCTATAACATAGACTAATTTCAGGTTTTTATTAAGATATATTTATACATAAAAATGCAGTATCTTATATAATGAATGATAGTGGATGTTATTGGTCCATTTTTATTTACAAGCCTTGGAAGATTTCTTTGTGAGACTATAATATAAACACAGTGGGTAAAATAATATATGTAGTATAAACCAAACTTTTTATTTCTCCCACTTCTGTGTGTTTTTATGCTGTGGGTTCCAGTTGGAAAGATTCCACTTCTTCAAGTCAATGAAAACTGATGATCCCCAGTACCTGACAGAGCTGAGCTCCTATATGTATCCAGGTGTATGTGCTCACTGTAGGACCAAAAACAAATCTTATCTGTGCTTTGCCTGGAAGCTGCTCCTAGTATTTCTTCATTCCCACATAAAGTTATTTCACCTAGAATCATATTTCACATAGAATCATAGAACAGTTTCTCTTGAAAGAGACCTTTGAGATCATCGAGTCCAACCTTTGTCGTAGCCCTATCAACACCACTGAACATGTCCCTCAGCACAACATGTGCCTGTCTCTTAAACACCTCCAGGGATGGCAACTCAACCAGCTCCCTGGGCAGCCTGTTCCAAAGGCTGACAACCCTCTCAGTAAAGAAATTTCTCCTAATATCGAACTTAAACCTCCCCTGGCACAACTTAAGGCCATTTCCCCTTGTCCTATCACTCACTACCAGGAAGAACAGACCAACCCCCACATCGCTACAACGTCTTTTCAAGCAGTTGTAGAGAGCGATAAGGTCTCCCCTCAATCTCCTCCAGGCCAAACAGCCCCAGATCCCTCAGCCTTTCCTCATACCACTTATGTTCTAAGCCCTTTCCCAGCTTGGCAGCTGCCCCTGTACCCTCTCCAGCACCTCAATGTCCCTCTTGCAGTGAGGGACCCAAAACTGGACACAGCACTCAAGGTGAGACCTCACCAAAGCCAAGTAGAGGGCAATGATTTCCCTGTCCCTGCCAGATGGTCTGAGCCACTTTGGGCCAAATTTGGACCACTTGCTTACAGGCAGTTAGTTCACACACATTTTTATTATTCCCCCAGAATTTCCTTCAGCTTCTCCTAATGTCTGGAAAAGCAGACAAATTCTCCTACAACTCACTATGAAAGAGTCATAGTAGATCAGTTTACAGCAGTACGAAGAATTATGTCCCCAGAAGACACACAGAGAAGAGAGCAGGATCACTGAGAACACTAAACAGCTCTTCAAAATAATAATCACAGCTCAAATAATATCAAATCAGGACTTGGTTAACAGATGCCAAGTAGCAGAGTTGAATCTGCAGTAACAGATATGTTCAGAAGACATTTTCATTGTATTTGCTCTTTTTGTTTAAGCTCTTTTTAATTATTACATGTTGTGTGGTTAAAAAGATGGAGAAAATGAAAATTCCATCTGAAAGAGGAGGATGCAAAAGGACACATCAGGTTATTTTGAAACACACTATTCTTACTTTGAAGAAGTGGAAGCAGAAAGACAATCACTCTTTGAGAGAACAATCCAGCAGAACACTCCCAGATATGAATCAGAAAATTGTCTCATTCATGCAGTGAGTCATATCAAGCGCCACACATCTTCTATGAGGTGTTGTGTGCCCACAGTTCCCCAGGGGACACTGACCTGCTTCTATCATCTGTCCCTAAATGCCTGCTGATGCAAACTTGATCAGTTCTGCAGCTTGACTTAACATCGTTGTTCCCCCTGCAGTTGCCTCATGCTCCTGGCCTAGAGAAAATAATCTCAGTGTTGTTCTTTTTCCATAAGACTTACACTCAATCATCTGGTAAACGCTATAACTGACCTTGAGACCACATACACGTACTGCATGTCTCACAGTTTTTCAACTTAGGGAGGAGGGATTACCCCTGTTGTTGAACGGAACAGGCAATGTTCAAAAAAAAGCTCAGAAATATTAACTGCTTACATAAAACTTTTTATAACTTACATAAATCTTTTTCTGAAAACTCAAGTGTCACAGCAAGACAACCGCTGCCCTGATTACACAGAGTTTTGTTTGTGGAATGCCTAACACATGCCTGCAAGGAGAAAGTCATCTCTCTCTCTCTCTTTTTTTTTTTTATATTTCATAAACTTTCCAGAGTACAGAAAATACACATTCATTTCCTGCAAGCAAAGGGGATATTTGTCTCAGCCAAGAAAAGAAACACTACTTGGTTGCTCTTCTAACAAAAAGAACATTAGGAACAGGCATATTAAGAGATCTAAGGCTTATTGTGGTTATGTGAACCATTGGATATGAATCATATTAAAACTGTTTGGGTCTTTAATGAAGAGCTCTATCATGTGCCAATGACAGAAACCATGGAATATTTTTAAATGCACAGATCCTTTTCTTTTAAAAATTATCTACTGCTAACAGTTCAAAGACAAAACAAGCTTTTTAGTCTTTTTCTGTATTGTCATACCTTTTGAGAAGGGCAAAGCAAATACATCTTCAAATTGAGCCATCTAATTTTTTTTTTCTGCATGCACTTAAAATGAAAACTCTTAAGGTCTCAATCCATGTATTAAGCAACCTACCTGGCCTTTTGGAAATCGGTTTGAAACAACACTATGTGAAAGTCCATTTCAAGATGAAAGTTAACAAGATTTTTTTTATATATCCAGATAAAATCTTGAAAATACATCTGATGCAGTTGAAGAATACTCCTCGGTTTTCAAAGCAATCATTCTTCCCACAGCGGAAAACAACTGAGGGTAGGACTGGATTAGTGGTTAGATGGCAATAGATGCATCAGTGTGATGATCTCACTGACAGTTGTGGCTTAAAAGAACTGCAAGTTTTGTCTGTAAAGTTTTTAGGCTTACCTAAGCTTTACTCTGCTTATTGGCAAAACATGAATAGACTTCAACAGGAAGAAAATTGGGCCCCTTGTCCAGAGCAATACAAAGAGCATATTTTCAAGTGCAATATGCTCGCACCCATTGCCATGGTCAGATAACACATGCTCATTATACAGGCCTTGAAGTAAAGCCAAAAAGTGAAATTTGCTGATAATAGTTTGTATGCAAAGATGTTAATAATTAGCTGAGAATGCATATCATAACACACAGCATTATGTTTTCTCAGTACTCTCATACAATACAAAATTATTCATTTTGAAGTTAATTTAATTCAACCCCTGGGACAAAAAGCAGAGTCTTTTTAATATATTTTTTACTCTTTTGCTTCTCTCCTTTCTTTTTCATTTGCAAAAGCAATATGGTTTGGTTAAACTGAAAGGCTCAGTCAACAGGTATTTCCTGAAAATATTTTCCATAAAGAGCTGAATGTGGGTCTCCAGAATGAAAACTGATACTTTCTTTTTTACTTTTCCAGCCAAAGGTTTCTATGATCTTGATTCTTTAAACGAGGCTGCCTGGATCAGCGCCCAGAACCAGCTAGTTCCATGTGATATTTGTGGGCGTACTTTTCTTCCAGACAGACTGATCGTCCATCAGAAGTCCTGTAAACTGAAACCTGCAAAATGAAGTGGATGTAACACATATGCATATGTACGTGTGCATGCCTGCTCACATACACACACACCCACACACACACACACGTGTGTGTGCATGCACATGAATGCACACACATGCTCCCATACCTTTCAGCCAAACTGTGAGAGAAATAAAATCCAGCTGGAGAGCCATGGGCATCAAAACTATAGTGTGTCATCAGATCATGTCATCCAAAAGCCTCCAGAGTAAAATTAGCAGTTGCTATTGTAGTGTAAGGTCAAACATGATGGGTTTTTTAGCTGAGCAGTAGCAAAAATGCCTCCTCATTTCTGTAATTCAGGTAGCATCACCTTGAAACCATGGTTTGAGAGGGATGGCATAAGAATACTTGAGATTGATGTTAACTATTGCCTTAATTCTCCTGATCCTGTGCTTTGCTGGGTGCAAGAGATCCCAAGTGAAGAATACTCCCAAGCTGCTTTTTGAATTGCTGTGCAGTTTTTATCTCTGTTGGTCAAATGTGAGATGTTTTTCAGCCCCACTCTTTTCACGGCCTTTCAGATCTAGCTATCTGGACTTTCAAAAGAAGTTGGGCCTTCTGCATGCATTTTCCATTTTCCATGTTATGTTTGGTTTCTTGTATTCAGCAAAGGACCGAAAGAATGATCCATGGCTGTTAGAGGTCTTTCACTGCAGAGATCCTCAAGAAAATACCCCACAGGGATCCACCTTGTAGTCTTGCTTTTCAACAGATCTGTGAGACCACACAAGATGGTTTAATGTCAGGAGCTCCCTTGTCTACAGGGACTTTTAGCTACATGCCCCTTCCGTGGTGAATATATTCACCTACTGTTTCAGAAACTGAAGCTTCAGACAACTTTTAGGAAATGAGATTTTTTGATGAAGAGTAACTCATTGAATCTCAGCCAGAGTGATGTTGATCAGGAAAATTAATTATTTGAAAATTTTGTTTCCCCTCTATCAAAGACTTGTCTAGATAGTGTAAAGATTTCCAGCTGAATTTGACTGAAACAAACAAAGGAGCTCCTCTGAGTTTGTTGAGTTTGGTTGCAGGGTTTTTTTTGTTTGTTTTTTTTTTGTGTGTATATGTGTCCCTGTCGATCTTTGACACAAGACTACTCATTCACTCTCACTCAGAGCTTAAATCCGTGGAGCACTCAAGTTCACATCTTCTGGGACAGTGCAGCTCATGAAGCCCTTGGCTGCTACAAGTGAAATGTTCATATATAAAGGGATCCAGCCATGGGATGGAAGCAGAGATTGGCTGGTTTTAGAAAACACCCCAAAAGTGCCCTGTTCTTGGAGCATTTTTTGTTCAAGAATACTTACCATGTGATTTATCCTCAGCTTAATAAACCAATCATGCCACAGATTTTATAAGTCAGAGGAGCACATCTTTGTCATGAACTCTGTAAAAGAAAACATATTTTTATGTCAAGCCAAAACAAGCATGGTGTGTCAGATGGCTGGAATAAAATACTACCCTGCCCTCTGTTCCAAATGTGACCATAACAGAGTGCCATATGGGCAAGAAGGATAGGTATTATACAAGAAAGCAGTGGGGCAGGTGTTTAAATGAGTTGTTTCAAAAAATGCCATTATGTTACATAGCGAAATCAGTGCCAAAACACACCAGTGAATAGGTTAAACACATGAAGAAAGTAATAGTCACTTTAACAAGGTACAGCAAAGAGCCTTTTTATTATTTTACTTACTCTGAAGTGTTTGATTAAGTAGTCAGTGAGATTATTCAAAAGGTATGGCAAAACCCAATACAAGTTGTTAACTAGCAATATAGACTTCCTGATATCATGAAAGAAACTCATACCTCATGTACGTTTTCACCTTCACACTTAAGGCCTAGAGCTTGCTGTCATGCATTTTGTGACTGATGTGAGTTTTCTGAGAGCGTTCACACTATTGTACTTACAAATCAGATGAAGTAGATGTCTTCCTATACACTAAAATGAAATATGGGTACCAGAAACTTTTCTTTTCCAAGCTTTCAAGCTGTGTGATTTATGGCGTAAGTGAAATAAGAAGTAATATCATTGTTCTTTTATTAGAGGAACGCTCCTGGCTCCAGCCCTGGCGGGCTGTTAATTCATACTGGGAGAGGTACCAGCATTCTTCAGTGAAAATAATTTCCAAAACAATCAATGGCACCTCAGCAGCCCTTTCATCTTCAGAAGGAGAATTGTATTGTCTGAAGATAGATATCTTCAGGAGTCAAAGGTTCAGTTTCTGTTCTACAGTGCAAAGCTGTGTAAACTGCGTATCTGTTCTTGTTAACATCTCCAATGTAAGGAAAGTCGCTGGCGGAGCTGGATTGGTGCCATCCCTCCTGCTTTTGGCTGAGAGAAGACATGTGGCCTGAGCAAAGAAGAACAGGGGCACTGGTTTGTGATTCCTAGGCTGGCTTCTAGAAGCTGTTGGCAGGCAACTTATGCTGCAAGACCCTGGAGGCTGTTGTAATTCACATCAAGTGCTGGCCCACTCATGAGTGGCTTGGTAACTGGTAATATGGATATCAGGTGATCTCACCTTTGTGTCCTCTCTTTCTCTTCTTAGACCCCTCTTCCTTTTGCCAGACATGATAAATGTTAGCTGTATTTGCCTCACTGGGTCATCAAGATTCGTTACAGAGTCACTTCAAGAACAGAAACAAGTTTTAAGGAAACTAAACAGAAATTTAACCCAGAACAGTTTTTCTGTGTTTCATTGTCACCTATACACTTGCCTATTTTTTATTTTTCTGCATTATTATCTCCAAATCAATAAAATCTACCTGATGAGCCCAGCAGCATGTTTACAAGCAATCACAAAAATACTTATAGTAACTGTACTTTCAGTGTGCTGCTGTGTCTTGCCCAGAAATACCACTGTCTGGGAGCAACTCAGGCCCTAGGCCTGAAGTATGGTTTCCACATCAGCCTTTGGGGGGGGTCAGATGAGGAATTGTCAAATTAAGAGCTGCCCCTGCTTATTGCTGATGAGCTCTGAACTTACCATGGGATTGATAAAATGGTGAGCCCTTACCACTCACAGAGGCAAGTCAACATTGGGGTGTGAAGGGAGACCAGAGCATTGAGGAGCACAGCAGGAGGCAACAGCACTCAGAAGGATCTCAGAGGCTGCAATATCCCCTTCTGTCCATAACATCAGGGGGACAATGATCTTCAAAATACATTGAAATATAAAAGCACTGACATGGGAGTGCATATTGTCCCATTTCAAACACTGAAAAGATATCACTATCACTCACATCTCCAGGTTACTCTGTCAGGAACTTCTGTGCTGACCTCACCAACCCTGATGTTAGTTTGTACCAATGATAATGGTGAATGCTGTGGCAAGAGTTGTTCACTGGGAGAAACAGTGACATTGTCTTCATGATTTGCTCTCAGCAGAGTTAAAATGAGATCTTATGAGCATTTTTCATTATTGCTTGGCATTTATCATTCTGTTTTTGTTTTTTTTTTGCAGGAGGGGAAAAGGAAATGAGAAATTGAGCTACTTTTGCTTCCTTTGTTTCTGTACCTTAGAGATTTGTCACTTAACCTTATGTTGTCCACTGTTGGCTCACAGTGATTCCTAGCTCAATCCCATGTTTCCTACTGGCATAATACATTTAAAGAGCTGAAAAAATGTTTTCCTGTACTTAAAAAACAATGACATTCCATTTAGTTTGCCACAAATGTGCTGATAGCAGCTAAAAACTCTTTATGGACAAAATATACAGAAAGTATGGAACATGGATTGACAAGTGAAGTTTAGTCACATTAAACAAATGAGCATCTACTTTCAGACCATAAGGAAAATCCCTGACATGTTGTAGTTCAGCCAGTTGAACCTACCAGTTCAAATTAAAAAAAATCAGACGTTTTAGAAAAGCAATCTTTCAGATAATAGTCAAGCTAGATGAGACTTCAAAAATTGGACATTAATGAAAGAAGCCATAACTGCATATAAATATTTTATGTAAAGTGGTGTAGTTTAGTAAGTTAAGAATGTCGTAGTTCTTTAGTTACCACACAAGCTTCAGAAGGTCCTATATCTTCAAGGGTAGTAGGAAAAAATACCTAGCAGGCCTTTACAACATAGTTTCATGGATCCTTTTTCTTAAAGACTACCAGCATGTAGTAGACCACAGCCTGAAGAATGAAAAATTTGTAAATTCAATCTCAGTTTCTACGTAAAAGATAGTAAGAACCTACACAGATCTGTGAATTCTCTCTACATGGCATAGACCTCGAAAATATCTATCACTTTACAGAAAATATGTTTTCAGCACTGGCTCCCAACCACTGACAATTCATACGCTTAAGCTTTAGTTCAGTATTTGTAAACATATAATTTGATTCTGTACTCACTGGAGCAAAGTCCCACACTAGCATATGGGTAAAGGATGCAGCCAGAAAAGCTGAAGGATTGTTCAGATGTTGACATGTATATGCCTTAAACTAGTTCCTGAAGGTTTGTGTGATGGCACACATGTATTCACTGCCTCTGTTTGTTTAATAATAGAATTTTGTAATTGAGCATTAAGTTCGTTTATCTTACGCAGTTCAAGCAAAAGGTGCATGCAGAAGAAATTCTGTGAAGGCTCTTGTCTGAATTAGTATTTTCTTCAGGGCTCCTGTCTGCCCAGGTGGTTAATTTTGTTTCACTGTCAGCAGGATAGGATTTCCTGAATTCTGTATTTCTGAACTGTGTCAACCAAAGTGGCTTCAAATGAGTTTGCTGTATCTGGACACATGACATGTTCAACAGGACAGTAGGATCATGCAAAACCAGGATTCAACGCGGGCATGAGGTCCATGAGGAAACAAAACCTACAAGCCTGGAAAACCGTCCAAGAAGTTGCCTGAGGGCCTGTCTACATTTGTGTATGCTGTTATTCACTTGCTCCTCAGTTGATATAAGAACTGACAAACATAGACTATTACTGACTCTAGGGCACACAAGGGTTAAGCATTAATCCTAAATCGATATAGAAGAAAAATTCT